GTAATGGGGACCTTATACTGATATCAGTATTGTTTCCAGTTAAGTGTCCTGGTTCAAATGCAGGCAAGGTTCTTTGAGTAGATGTGATATCTTTTATTAGACCTACTGAGTAGTTGGAAAAAAGTTCTTAGCAAGCTTTTGGGCGCAGTCACCCTTCTTTGGGTATAGGAAGTTCAGATGGACATCTTTCACTCTAAATTGTTGTTCAATTGAACATACCTGAAGGGAGATTATAAAGGGGATGGACATATCTTTTCTCTGTGGTAGTCGGGAACTGCCCAAAGAGTAATGGCCTAAAACTACAGCAGGGGAAATTTATTTTGGAGTTTAGAAAGAACTTTCTGACTATGAGAGGGGTTAAGTGTTGGAACAGGCTACCTAGAAAGGTTGTGGAATCTCCAACCCTGGCAATTTTCAAGAGCAGGTTACACAGATACTTGATTGTGATGCTTTAGTCAGGGATGATCCTGCTATGAGCAGGGGGCTGGATTAGATGACCTCATGAGGTCCCTACCAGTTCTACTTTCGTATGGTCATATTGTGAGATGATGAAGATGCCTAATGTGTAGCCTTGAGTCATGTGCCTAAGGGGGAGACCTGAGGGGGAGTATGAGTTCAGAGATACCCTTGTGATTATAATTTCTAAATGGTTATCTGTTAACTTCCTCTTTAGCACCTAAATAATAAATAATAAAATAATTTGTTTGCAATTATCTAGTTGGTCTAATAAAAGATATCACCTCTTCCACAAGTTTTCATTGCTTAACACCTAGGCACTCTGAATTGCCTTTGGAAAGTGCCTAGGTCTCCCCTGGAATCCTATAATGCTCAGCCTGTTAATATGGACCATCCTTCTCAGGCAGGAATATTTTAGGTGTTTGCCATACCTAAATGGAGGTACCTATATGGTAAGTGTGGCCCATAGCATACAGTTGTTATGATGTTTTCATATTTGCTATTCTAATTTACTTAGACATTAAACTATTTTAGATAAAAGTAAGTATGAAAAGATTCTAAGGCCACATGTTCCTCAATCACATGCTTGTGTCCTTGCAGAAGTTACACTTGAGACCGAGGTATGGAAAATGTTCCCAGAGTTCTCTCATAGGAGATTGACAGACTGGTAGTAGTGGTGGTCTTTGATGTTTTCTCATTTATGGTAGTCCAGAGCACACTGATGCAAACAGAAATGTCTCTCATCAACTTAGATCTTTGTTCCTCAAGCTTTGATGCTGGCTCCCCTGCAGTGGCTTCTTTCTCTTTGTGGGGAGGCTTAACAAAATCAGTTGAAAATGAAGAAAGGACTTTATTTTTCCTCTCTTGTTTGATTCTTTACACTTCAGATTAACTGGAAGCAGAGGAGACTATTGCATACTCAGTGAGAATACTCAGTGGAATATTGAAAGGAATAAGCCAACAAGAGAAAAATGAATATCCATCCTGTCCAAACCAGACTTAAAATACAGTAAGAAAAGCAAATTCAGATGTTTTTTGGAAACAGATACTCTAAATTATAGGTGGTGCAAGCAACAAAGTGAGTTGAAGAGGTTGTCCATTCGTTTCCATTCTAAGACCTTGTTTTCAGTAACTGTGTCAAATTAACAATTTGGGATGAACTTTTCCTTGATAGATGTCTGTTTTTATTTCAGCAAAAATGGTTCATCCATTTCTCAGAATAAGGTTAGGGAAAATATGCTGTTTCAAGTAAGCTAAAACAGCGGGCAACCTTTTTGTAAGGTATGCCACAAGTTAGTCCTGCACACTCCCCAACTACCACTCTGACCCCTTCACTGCACCTGATCTTCTCTGCTCTCTGCTTCCTGCCTTGTTCCCTGCCCAATCTGCCGCACGCCACACAGTCTCAGAGGCTGCCGGTCCACTTGTGGCAGGCATGCTGCAGGTTGGCCACGCCTGACCTACACAGTACAATCAGCACAGATGCCTCAGTGAGCTCACAGAGCCATTGATCCACAACTGCACCAAGATCTGTGGGAGCTCCTTTGCAGAGCGGGACAGACACTTCCTGCACCCGCACTCATTCCATGCCCCTCCATAGTGGGCAGTACGGAAGACCCAGCCTCAATGTAACTCATCCCCAGGGGAGACCGGGTTCACTCCTGTCTATGGGTAGAGCTAGGATTTTGAAAAAGAGGGTGTGGGAGGTGTGGTGGATTATTACATTAACATGACACATATTTTTCTCCAGTTAAAACTAGAAGCTTTACTATGTTAGGGACCAAGTGCTATATTATGCAGTTTAAGATCAAAGCAAAAGCAAATATAACCTTATTGCAATGTGCACTAATTTGCTATCTTATATATTAAGTTAAAAAACACAATAAACTAAGAAAAAATGGTCAAAATAATCAAAATATAGTTTCACTAGTCCTGTAGTCATTATAGTTAAATGTACATCTCTTATTCAAATTCGTAAACCAAAATCTAGTCTTACTGAGCATCTTGATAGTGCCTCCAGTACTTCCCTGTCAGTCATTTCTACATCTGATTTACTATTACTACACCTGAATTAAGGTTTTTAGCTAGAGCTAAAAACAGTCTGCAGGGTTGTGAAAGAGAAGAGAGATATTACCAGGTACACCTAAAAGCAAAATTGCAGAAGAAAGGATAGTTTGAATAGTGGAATAGCAAGAATAGCAAGACCATTAAAAAGGGGAGAGAGGGTCATTAATACCTGTGGAGTCTTTACAGAGATTAGCAGGAGTTAGATTATAATGATTTATGAAGTCAGTGGACTCCTTCAGCACTGCCAGAATAGAAATGCCACTGCCCCTCCCAGGCAGTTTCCAAATTTGGGCAGGGCAGGCATCAAACATGGGTGCAATTGCATCACTGCCTCCCCCTCCCCCGATCTGCCCCATGTCCTGTCTCCCCCCCCGTGCTAAAAAAATTCAAACCTACATTTCACCAAGATATCTTAATACCTTCAGGTTCTAGAGTTGAAATTTGTCAAGGGATGCATCCTCTAGTCAAGGGGACATTTCTCTTGCTATTCTTCTTGTAGGGGGGGAGAAATTGGGACAAATTATGAAAATCTCAGAAAATCTGAGTTTGTTTTGTGTGCCACAGAGACTGACAGCTAAATTATCTGAAGATTGCAAGACCATCCACAGAACTAAACTGTTAACAAATCACAGAAAAACCCACCAGCAAAATCTGTGCTTCCTCACTCACAAGGGTACCTGCTTCCTCACTTTCTGTGGAGGGTACCCTCCACCAGGGATGTTCAACCCCCAGCCTATGGGACACATCCATCTCCTGGTGCTGTGTCATTCAGTGCATTGGGTTTGAAAATTTGGTGGCAGGGATGTGGTGGCACTGCTCCCTTGCCTCCAAATTTCCCAGACCCAGATTAGGCATGCAAAGCAGTGCAGGGCCAGTCCTGTCACACAGGGCTGGACATGGGTGGGGCAGGGTCTGATTCCAGCATGGTTGGGAGCAGTTTGGGTCTGTTTCTGATATGCTGGGTTAGGTGAGGCCATGCAGGTCTGTATCTGGACACGTGTGGCCAGATGGAAACAACACAGGGCTGATCTGGGCACATGGAGCTCAATACAGTCCGTGACTGGCTTCACATTGCTTGTCTGGCCTGAGGGGCCAAGAGGTTGAGCATCACTGCCCTACTTGGATACAAGTTAGTTTCAAGTAAGCAGTAGTGGATGAGGTTGGTGCTTTCGATCTAAAGGTATCATACTGAAAAATCATTTGAGCCATTAGGATTGTGCAAGAATGATCCCCCTCCCCCCCTTCCTTAAAAACTAAAAAAACTCCCTATAAGACTATGCACTCACACTTTAAAAGCTACCAAGGTTATTTTCCATGCTGCCTTATTGGGACCTCCCTTACACACAGGTGTTATGGTGTTTACACAGGCCTGTTATTTTTGCGACAGACTCCCTGCCTTGTGCAGGGCACAGGACAGACAACCATGGGAGCTGTTCCAGAAGATGGAGGCACTATACCAGTGGGGGGCGAACCTTGTTGACAGGTGTGCCACAAACTAGCCCTGCACCCTCCTGGAGTGCCACCCTGATCGTCTCACCCTGCCTGCTCTGCTTTGTTTCCTTCCTTGGCCTGGTATGCTGCTCTGCTTTATCTCCTGTCCAGGGCTGTCCTTTGGGGGGGGGCAACTGCCCCAGGCCTGGCACTTTGCAGGGCCACACAGAGCCGGGCAGAGTATCCGTGGCCCAGCCCCACGCAGTGTTAAATGGGCTTTGCACAGGCTGATTTGCCCTGGGCCCCACACCCGCCTACTGTCATCTCTAGTCCTGCCTGATGGGGTGCTCTGCTTGCTGCTCTCTGCCTGCTCTGCTCACTGCTCCCTATCCTGTGCCCCCTGCCTGCTCTATGGTTTGCTTGCCGCTCCCTGCCTGCATTCTGCACCTGATCTGCTGCTCTGCCCGCTGTTCCCCACTTGCATTCCTCCTCATTTGCTATTCTGCCTGCTGCTCCTACCCTCACCTGCTCTGCTCACTATCCTGTGTCCCTGCCTGATCTGTTGCTTTGCTTGCTGCTCCCCGCCCCTCATTCCCCACCTGATCTGCCGCTCGGTTTGCTGCTCCCCGCCCTCTGCCTGTCCCCACCTACACAGAGTCGCTCAGCCCTGAGACCGTGAAGCCGCCACCGCCTTTCCCAGCTCTGCAGGGGCCGTGCACCAAGAGCCGGGACCCGCCCACCTCGCTGCCGCCCAATACGAAACGGGAGGAGGG